CCCCCCCCCGAGAGATGCTGGGGCTCGGGAGGCTGCCCACCCACCCAGGCGGCCTTGCTCCTCCTCCCCGACGGTGCACGGATGGATCGGGAAGGCCGGGATTGCCCGGTGCTCCCTGCATACCCTCCGTTAGCCGTGCAGCGGCGGCTGAGACCCCGCCAACTCATCGCAGAAACCGCGAACGCGCGACCACCCCCTTTTCCTGTTTGTCCCTTCGCCCGAGCCGTACCGGTAGGGGGGCGGGGTTAAGACCTGGATGCGGAAGTGCGCGCTCACTTCCGGTCTCTGCGCAGAGGTAGCGGAGGTAAGAGTGGGGGTAGTGGGGGGGGGGTCGTGCGGGATCCGCCGCCATCCGCGGCCGTACGGCGCCGGGTGGCCCCGGGGTGGGTCGGGGGAACAGAGGGGACTCGTGGGCGACTCGGTGGTGGACGGTGAGCGCGGGGCGGGCAAGGGGAGACCGGTGTTGGGTGGCCGTTGTTGGGGACTGCGCTGACGCCATCTTGGGTTGTTTCTGCCGCAGGTTGGAACGCTCTGAGCCCGGCTTGGAACCATGGTGAGGAGGAGGTGGCTGGTGGGTGGGAGGAGGAAGGAAGGAGGGCGGGTGTGGGGCCTTGTGTCTCGCCCCATGGGGCTGGGGGCTGTCCTGTCGGCCCGGCGGGTTGGGGGGGGGTCCCTGGTTGCCTCGCCCCGGGTAGGGTGGGGGTACTTTCCGCGCCCTGCGGTGCTGGGGGTGATAGTGCCGACCCCCACGTTGGCTGGTTTATGTCTGGAGCACGGTCCTGCTGTCGGAGGAGAGGCTCTTCCTGACCGGGCTGCAGGAAAGAGACGTGCCCTATGCCCTGGGGCAGTTACTGCGGGGTAGGTGGGGGGGTCTTGGCTGTGAGTGTGGGGGCTGAGAGCGATGCCGGGGTGCTCACAGAAGCCAGTGCGTGAGCTTTCGGTCGTTTTCTGTATGCCAAGTCTCTGTTTTACATTTCAGCCTCGTAAGATTGAGGAGATTAAGGATTTTCTGCTGACAGCCAGGAGGAAGGACGCAAAGTGTGAGTGCCGAGGCTGCTGTTTGTGCCGCAGGGGAGGAGGAAGGTGGGATGCTCTGGCACAGGAGCTCTTCCCTGCAGGAGCAGGGCTCTGGGGCCACATGTCCTCACAGAGATTGAGGAGCTCCTTGGCATGGAAGCACTGAGGCACACACGGTGCCGAGGCTTTGGTCAGGCAAAGTGTCGGTGACGTTTAAAGCAGCTTTTGCTGGGTGTTGACTGAGGTTGCTGCCCATGAGCAAAGCCACGCTGGGCAGAGGGATGCTGAGACTGACCCTGCAGGTGGGGTCTGCTGTTGGGGGCTCAGGTCCAGGACTGGGGTTTGACCCGGGCAGGTGCTCTTACACCCACTCAGCTATGTTTCTTTCTCTGCTGCTCACCCTGGAGTGTTTTGGCCCAGCCCCAGCTGCAGCGTGCTGGAAACAATTTGCAAATATTTCCTTGTCTCTGACTTGCTGCAGTCTTGGAAAAGCTGCAAGATGTCAGACGCTGGGGAGTTCGATCAGAGTGACAAGTGAATCATACTCAAACTCAAGTTTTCCTTTGTTCCAAATACAAAGAGGGTTATAATTGAAGTACTAGAAATGCTTTGTCTCAGTATTTAACAACGCGTGAAGAGTTTTCCCTCGTCTCTTGCTTATTTGGATCCGGCTGTCAGGGGGAAGAGGCACTTTCATTCTGGAAATGTTTTGTTAACTCACTGGTGTGGGCGAGAAGGGATAGTTCAACACTGAAATGCTGTTGTAGCTGATGACAGCCCCTTTACAAAGCATTCCCATGCCTTTTGACTTGCTCCAGATTTTGCAGCAGCAGAGCTGCAAGGGGTCTGCGGCAGAGAAGGAGAGGAACTGACCCACGGCTCTGAGCGAACTGCTTAGATAAAATGGCCTTAGGGGGGATATAAAGGAGATTGGAAGCGCTGGCTGCGGAGTTCAGAAGCCGTGTGACAAGCTCCAGTGCAGCTATTCAGTTGCACAAGATGACACGGGTGAATAACAAGCCCAGCGTGAACTGTCACACTCCATTGAAAATTTGCGACGTGATAAAAGTTTTCATGTTGCTCATCGTAAACCGCTGCTGCGGAGCAGAATAGCCTCAAAATAAACACGTCGGCTTTGAGAAATCAGGGCGGCGTCTCTGCGAGACAGTGGGCTGAACCCTCTGGCTGGAGTGGTAGCTGTTTGTGACAACTATGTAGGTAAAAATAGTACATAATTTGGATTTTCTTTAGTGCCGGTGGGCCAGGGAGGGCAGTAATCATCCTCCTGGCTGGGATGAGAAGGGAGGAGTTGGGATGGGTTTGCTGCTGTCCTCCTGACCTCTTCCTTCATCCTGCAGCGGTCAAAATCAAGAAGAACAAGGACAATGTGAAATTTAAGGTGCGCTGCAGCCGGTACCTGTACACCCTGGTCATCACGGACAAGGAAAAGGCTGAGAAGCTGAAGCAGTCCCTGCCCCCAGGTATCGCTTTGGCCTCTGAAGGGAAATGTCTCGTGCTGGGGCAGAGCTGGGCCGGGGGTGGCAGGCAGCTGGGATCGAGGTGGGTGGCAAGACCCCCCCCC